GCAGTACATTACATTGTTTAAAAACCAATATACAAACGGGACAACAAATTTGTAGGTTTGGGTTTCCCAAAGAATTGAGGGAACAAACTATTATACAATATAATGATCATGGTCAACCAGAGTTGTTAACTGCCAGAAACGACCCTTATATAAATTCACACAATCATCTTCAACTTCAAGGTTGGAGAGCGAATGTAGATTTAAAGCCCATACTTACTACTTATGCTGCATTACAATATGTATCCAAGTATGCAAGTAAGGCTGAACTTGATCAGCATTATTTTCCAACATATTAAACAATATTCTTTGTCATAGTAAACACAATGAACACTTTATCAAGTCTTTTCAAAAGCTACTTCTTTATTCAGTAGCTGAACGTGACTTTTCATCTCAAGAAACCTGCCACCTTTTACTTGGCATTCCTCTATTTTATTGTAGCCAAAGGTTTGTGACCTTGAATCTTAATAAGAAAACTTTACGATGGGTCTATAATAATGTAAAAATTATGATAATGGTAATAACAATGATAAAGAAATAGCCAATGAAGTTAAAACAGCATTATCAACCCTGCAGTTGTACTGGGCCCGACCTAATGAACTCCAAGACCTTTCACTTTTCCAATTATATCTAAAATACAAATATGTAAAAAGAGAGTAGATATTTTGTACAAAACAAAACATTATACGTATCTTTCACGCCCTTCTTCATTAAGAAATAGACCTTGCTAGGAAGAATTTTGCTGAATAAAAGTTCTTTTACATGTCAAACATTAAAATATTTTACTACTAACAGAAAATAGAACACTGTCTTGGCCAGAACTCTATGATCATCATTTGCAAGAAATTGTGACTGAACCTGTTGACGTACTTGGATTAGCTACAAACTCTCTTGAAGAAAATATCAATAATGACGAATATCAATCTGATAAAGAAAGTGAAGAAACTCAACTTGACTGGATGATCCTAGTGGAAACATGTCCTGATAATCAACCATACAATTCTTCAGATCTTGGGTCTTGCAATATTGATCTAAGCTATAACTGGGCCAGAAAAAGCAAAGAACGAAATCCCACTCTTACAGATGCAAATACCTTCATTTAATGGGCATGTAAAGACAGTATAGAAAACCATGAAATTAATGATTCTGTTGATAGTGTGATTAATTACGAAACCTTAAATAAGAAGCAAAAAACTATTCTTGATAGAATAGAATGTAATTATATTGCTAACATATTAGGAAAGTGCGTAGAACCATTAAGAATTATTATTATGAGTACAGCCAAAACCAAAAAGTCTTATCTTATAAAGGCCATCTGGTGTAAACTTAATGAAATTAGTAAAAAATTTAATCTACCTTAACAAATTCTTGTGCTTGCTCCTACTGGGGTTGCTGCTTTTAATATTCATGACTTTACAATTTATTCAGCATTATCAATCCCAGTAAACGCAAAAACTTTTGATCTAACAGGTGAAAGTTTAAAATGCCTACAAAACAAGCTAAAGTGGGTAAAGTATTTTATAATTAATGAAATGAGCATGGTAGGGCAACATACTCTTGCCTTAATAGATCTGAGAATGCATCAAGCATTTCCTAATTGTCAAAATATTCCATTTGACGGTCGCTCTATCATTTTTGTTAGAGATTTCGGACAGCTTCCACCTGTTTGTGACCTTCCTATGTATGCACAAGATTCTCGCCCTTCTGATGCTTTATCTGAAGATGGGCGCACAGCTTACATTCAATTTTAAGAAATTTACAAACTTGATATTATACAATATCAAACTGGCAATTCAGAAGAGCAATGTCAATTTAGATCTCTTCTATTACGTCTCCGTGATGGTGCTTCTACAATTCTGGATTGGGAAATAATAATGAATAGACTGCCAGAAAAATTAACTCTACAAGAACGTGAAACTTTTTCTAATGCTACTTATATCCTACCAATGTGGGATGCTGTTAATAAGATAAATACTGAAAAATTAAAATCCTTAAATCAACCTATTGCCAAGATATGTGCTGTCCATAGTAATAATCATGAAGCTCCAAAAGCTGAGTCTGACATTGCAAAAGGTCTAGAAGCTGAACTACTACTCGCTATAGGAGCATGTATGATGCTAACTACAAATATTTGGACTTTTGCTGGTCTTGTAAATGGTGCTATAGGAAGAATTATGGATATTATATATGAAGAAGGACATGGCCCCACTTTACTACCTAATGCAGTTCTGGTCACATTTGATGACTATCATGGACCCACAATTACTACTCCTGAAGGTGTTCAAGTTGTGCTGATAACTGCTATTAAGAGAACTTGGAACGGAAAGTTTAGCATTTGCTCTCACTTCCAAATTCCTCTAATACTTGCATGGGCAATCACAGTACATAAATTTTAAGGCTTAACTCTCCTTAAAGCTGTAGTGAATATTGGAGAAAGAAAATTTGCAGCTGGCCTCTCATTTGTAGCAATATCATAGGCTCGGTCTATTAACGATCTAATATTTGAGCAATTTACCTTTGAGAAACTTCAACGTATTAAAAAATGCACAAGAGTGCAAAAAAGAATATTGAAAGAGAAACGTCTTCTAAATATTAGTACAATTTTTAATTAATTTCACGCATAATAAGAACATATAAATTTAATTAATTTGTTCTCATAATCTGGCTATATCATCTTTTAAGAATCTTTATAAATGAGCATGATTTTTAAATTTAAATTGCTTTGTATATTTTCTTTTAGCCAGATTACAAGTCACTTTGAAAACTTAGATATAATAGGAACTAATTATTTAAATTTGTGATTTATTATGTAAAAGAACAATGCTTTACATACTAATCATGATATAATTACATCATATTAATCTTTTAACCTCTAATAACTTAATATCATAGAAGTTAAAAACTTTACAGTTTCATCAAACATAAAGATAAGTTTATAATAGTTAAGCAATGATATTAAAAATTTTTTTATTACTAATGAATTGTAAATTAATAGATTTATCAGTGCAACTTTAAAATTTTGTTTGTGAATACGAAGTGGCGCTCTGGACCCAACGGATCCCATTTTCCTAGTTATAAGCCTGTATCAGACTTTTTTAAAAATTATAAACTATACTAAATAAATTACTTTGTTATTTTTTTATCTAACTAGATTATTTAACAAAAAACCAAAAAAAGAGAAAAAACTTTAACTTAATTGTAGAAGGTTGGTATAAAGTACTAGTTAGTCTGAAGACAGTATTTTTACTAGTTTTAGTAATTTGAGGCATGTATATAGTTATGTTTGTATTACTGTATTGTTTTTAATTTATATTATTGACAATTCTACTTAAAAAATAAATTTTGTTAACTGTTTTGATAATTTACATATTGAACTTTAGAAGGAGATAAACTGAATTACCTACTTTTACAAAATTTTTCTTAAAAAAAAAATAGAAGTGCTAGGTAAATCAACTTTTAGCTTCTGTGAATTCTTAACTCTTATGTATGTTTCTTGTAGATTTTATAGTTATATAAAACTAATATATTTGACTTTGTTATTTACTTAATAAAAAACTTTAACTTTTATTAACTACTTCTTTTATAATTTCAAGACTGTGACTCTTTTTCAATTCTATTTTAATGTTTAATAATGCATGTATAATACTTCAGAAAGGTTTTTATAATGTTTAATATATTAACTATATCATTTTTCTGTAGTTTGGCTTTTTGAAAAATTTGGTTTGACATGACCTCTGGGTTGATAATGCAGTGGTTAGCACTCTGAGGGTCACAATCGCAAGGTTGCCAGTTTGAGTCCAACTGACAGATAAAAGCTATGCCAGAATCATGATTGGAAATGATTTTTAAGAGGAGCTTTCCACTTTCAAACAGATTACTACAATGATAAATAAGTTGTATGACATAGCCACAAAGGTCATGCAGCACCTAAAAAAAGAAAAATCTGACAAGAAACATTGTTAATATAAGGTTTTCTAGCTTAAAGTAATATAAAGAAATGAATAATAGAAGAATGATCTGGCTGATGGATTATGTAAAGTTAGAGAACTGTGGATCGAATAAAGATAGTAGGTTTTACACTACAGAATCAGGAACCTGAAACATCATATGATGGACTTAACAGAGCATGAGCTATCTTACAAGCATAGTAATGAATATAAGGACCACCTGCCATCCCATGATCTCTGCAGAATGATGACTCTGGCCTTTAAGAGATGTGATAGATCTTAAAGATGTCTAAGAACCTTCAGGATAGTGAAGGGAGGTAAAATCAAAAAAAAAATTTTGATTTGAGTAATTATTAGAAAGTATTATGATTTAATAACCAAGTTGTATATAAATGATTTTAATTTAATAATAAATATTATATATTTTAATATTAAGTATTAATAATTTAATAATAAAATAGTAAAAATATATTTACTAATTTGTTTATAAATATTTATAATTTTGAAATAAAGTTTTATTATTATCTTAATGTATAGTATTTTTTTTTTTTATTCTTTAACAGTCTTGTCAGAGCTTAGATACAAAATTTTATTATTTGAAACATTAACTATTTCTAGTAATCTACATTTTGAAATTGCAAGCCCAGCATTACCCAAGTATAGAAACTGCACTCAAATGTAACTTGTCGCACCAGTTTATATCTAAACTGAGAGACCTTGTCAGCTTTTCAAAAACTGAACCAGAATAGATTTGTTCTATTCTGCACTAGTTCATCCATCCTTTCATTAAATATCTGAAAACATTCTGCTTTTCTCTCTTTATCTTTAACAGCTTTTATCTTACTTGTTATACTTTTTTTGTTGTCTCTTTTACTTTTGATTTTTTTTGAACTATAGCTTTTATTTACATCTCCCTTCATCCTGCATCACTTCACCTTAGAGGTTATTCCATTCTCATCTTTCCATTTGGCTACTGTTTTGCATTTTCTCCATCATATTTCTTCTTTAAACATTTCTTCAACAATCTTGATATATAGTTTCATAGAATGTTTTTACCTTTTCATGATACTTGCTTTGCATATAATTTCTTAAACATATTTTCTATTGCTAAGCCATGTATACATGACTCATGGTGCTTAACCTTATCTGCTAAAGTTTTTCTAACAAGTATTTTGCTTAACTTAAGTTTTGTAATCTTGCTTTTATCTACTTTATTAAGCTTTTTTCATACTAACCAGCATGCCAACTCTTCAATATTGCTCCAATACCTGCTGTATTTTTCACATCAAAACAAATGTATTAATGTTTCTTGTTTCTTATATCATTCTTTACATTCATCTGTCTCATATATGTCTGGTATTCTCTTCTTTAGTATCTCAAGAACTGGCAAACTATTGCTTATACACTTAACTCTAAGTGCTATCTTCTTATTTGTCTCTAGTGATTTATATTTAACTTTGGTTAAACTTCTGTTTTCCTTTTACAATGCTTTCTAATCTCTTTGAACTTCTATATTTAGTCAAGTTCTCTAACTGCTTTTAAGCATCACCATTCAGCACCATTCATCATGTTCATTAATGTCTTAATAAATTTTTTGGTAGGTATTTCTACTACTGAATCTTTTCAAAATAGTGTACATGAAAATCAGCAGTTTCTTTAAAGTTTTAGGTCTAAGCATTCACCTAACAATGTGCCTTCTTTCACAAGTTTGTTGGCTCTTTCATTTTATACTACTCCACTATGTGCTTTAATCTTGACCAGCACTAATTCAATATTTTTTGACTTGCACATATCTTTGATCTTTGTTACTAATCTGAAGTTTTTGGTTTTGCTTCATGCCCTAATGTTAAACATAGGCTTCTCTTTTTTCAGACTTGCAATTGCTGCTGAACTATCTAATTTAATCACTATTCTACTGTTATTAGCTACAACTAAAATTACCATCAATATTGCTGCTAACTCTGCCTTTGTTAATGATAGCTATTTTTCTAATCTAACTTTACTCTCCATTATAACTTCCTTTTTATTATTTTAACTTGCACCTAATCTGCACCTATTTTACATTCTTTTTCTTCTCTTACTAATAACCCATCTGTATAAAACTTGTATTTTATACAATTATCTATAATGTTCTTTTCCAACTGCTCTAGTAGCATACTTTCTAAATTGCTGTTTAGGCCTTGCATTTTCAATAAACTAATTTCATGACTATATATCATTATCTTTCTACTTATGGCTTTTTCATTACTTATATTCTCTTTTTCAATCTGATGCCTATTGTATCCTTTTAGTTCTTCAAGCAAGACTGGTACCTTTTGCTTATACATTTGTCTTACTCCTGGTAATACTCCTATTATTGCACTCTTTTTAACTCAATGTTAACATCTGTGTATACTACTACTGCTACTCAGATTACATTTATCACATTCTAAGAGTTTTGAGTAACTTTCTCCTTCAACTTGTAATTTGCTCTAATGATTTATCAGTATGTTTTTCTTTTTCTTTTTGACTACTTTGCCTACTATTAGTTCAGTGTTCTCTTTGTTTACTAATGCCCATTCTCATTTTTTTTTATTTTGTGATAACTTCTTGACCTTAATTTTTATTGCCATAGTGTTTATTTCTTGTGTTTGAAACTCAGGATAGACTGTTCTGTTTGCTTAGTCTCTTACCATCTTCTGTTCAATTTTGGCAAACCATTTTACTTTCTGGCCTTTTTGTATACTTGTGCGCAATGCTCTAAATTTCTTCCATGTGATCATTCTTTTGCCTTCATGATCTATTAACTGCTGTGCAAAAAACAATCTACTCTATATTAGCTTTTTACAAGCCATTTTAAATATTTCATTCTTTAACAAGCTTTGTACAGTTTTACCTGTACCAAAAACTTGGCAAAGAACTCCTTCTGCCTTTATCTTTAAACCTATTTCACTTGCTCGTAGCAATATCAGACATACAAGATTTCTTTTCTATATTTTTCTTAAATTACTTGCATATACTGTATTTATCTCTTCTGATATCAGTCCTGCTAGAGCATAGCCTTGTTTCACACATATTCTTGTTATCTCACCAATTTGATCTGGCTCATTTAATCTTATTTGTAATAAAATCACCTAACTATTAAATACTTTCTGACTCAGTACTCTATATCTTCCTAAACCTTGATGCTCAATTATACTATTTTCTATAGTTGCTGGCAGACCTAATTTGTTTTTAATCAATCTAATTACTGACTGATGCAAGTAATTTATGCACTCTTTGGACACTCTTGCTGTTTGCAATATGTACACCAATTTTAGTATTATACACATATTGTTAATATATATTAGCTGGCTGATAATTAATTTTTTCAACTGTAAGCTTCTCATAAATTGTTGCATAATATTTTTCACCTTTTTTTTTAACTAATCTTTCATTCATTTCTATACTTAACCATACTCCTAACATTC